GAATGTGAGGACTTGGGAGCCCAGAGCTGGGTGCCTCTGTCAGAGCTGTAGGGTCAGGGATGGCTTTCATGGGGAGTGGGGAACATTATTTGCATGTCTTCTTGCTATATTATCAGCTCATGGGCAGTAGTCTTAAGGAGGACAAATAAGGGTGCAGCTATTCAAGTTGAAATTAGGAACCAAGTGGTGTGTTTACAGCATCAAAGCGTCAATCATTGCCCTGGGCATGTAGCTTAGTTGTTAGAGTATTGTTTTGCATTCCGGAAGCCCCATGTTCATCCACACCATTACATGATAAGCAAGAGCTTGGAGTAGGAGAATCTTATACTGAAGTTATTATGCTTGGTCTATATGAAACTGTGTGCCAACAGAGAAAAGATAAGATAGAAGAAATTAAAAAAATAGACTATTAAGTTTGACTTCATGGTTTTACATAGCCATATATTTTCAGTCTTCCTTTATTGTGCTCTCTACTTCTAAACTTTTCTGCTAACTTTGCATGGATTATTAAACTAATTCTTAGGAATTGAAGATAAGAGAAACCAAAATATAATCATTTAATAATTGTTGTATAAGGTTCAGTATACAATGAATGCCTACCTTTATTTGAATTAACAATGTGTGGTTGATGCCACAGCAAAATGGTACAAAATTTCCTGCATAAAGCTTGAAGATTGAAACTCAAAAAATAAAAGATTTATTACACAAATATAAATGCTACCTGAGATTCTTCTTTAACAATGGGTATAACACATTTTGATGACCCATATTGACCATTTCGCTGCTCCAGGACTCACCTTGCCCACATTCTATAGACACCCTCTCATCCCCATCACAAAGGTAGTGCTGGCTCTCTGTAACGTCCATAAAACACCCAGTGGGGCTCTTTCCTTCCATGCCACATCCTTCTGCTCTCTGTTTCTTCAATGACTTGTGTTTCTCTTTCCATCAGCTAGGCCTGATGTTTCTCACAGTAAAGATCCACCTGGATCTTGAGAGAATTGCCTAAGGGGGACTATAAGGTAACCCACCTCCTTCCTTTCCAAGAGCCTACTGCCTTCCTGTGACATTCGTCCCCAATGCCAAGGAATCAAGGAACATGGGGTGGTAAAGACTCACAAAGACTTTACTGACAACCACAGAGCTTACATTGGACTGACCTAGGGTCTCGGCACATATGTGCCAGATGTGTAATATGCATGTCTTCATGTGGGACTCCTAATAGTGGGAGCAGGGGCTGTCTGTGCCTCTTGTGCTGACTTTGCAACACTTTTCCTCATGCTAAGTTGTGTCAACAATGTGACACGCCATGTTTGCTGATATCCATGGGAGGGTTGCCCATCACAGAAAAGAAATGGAGGAGTGGATGGGGAGTTGGGGAGATATGGTCAGGATTTGGAGGAGTGGACAGAAGTGACAAAGCAGAATTTTAAACAGTTAATAAATGATATCACATGAGTTTTTATAAGATCATATTGAAATAAGGATCCTGAAACATAAGTTATCACATATCTGTAGAGGATATAGAATCCATATGGCACAACAAATAAATGCAGGGATACTGTGAGTAATCAAATATCAAAGCAGGGTCTGTAGAGTAAGAGAAATGTAAATTAGGAAGCTATTATAAAACAAAAAGTCTGGATAATCAACAGTTCATAGATCCATGGTTTTGTATTTGAGATTTTCCTTAGGTAGTGAAACAATTTTCTGGTCCGATTTTGGTTTGTTTTTATGGAACTGATGGTGTAATATTGTTATCAAAAATAATAGATTTCAGAAAATTTTATGAAAAATTACTGAGACGTAGATGAGCTGGTCATGTAGTCATTAGTGTTGTCCCACTGCTTGTTCTGATCATACACTATGTTATGTGAGATATGTGCCTGCAGCAAGGTGAGTGGAAATAATGTGGATGAGATTTCTGTTTCATATTAATTTCTGAGTCTTTGAACAGAGGTGGCTGCATGTAAGGATGAAGAAGTCATGAATTTGAGAGTGAGCATGAGTTGGACACAAGAAGAATTTGAGTGGGGATATTGACTGCCACGGTACTAAGATTAAGAAATTCTCAAAAATATTTAAAAATTTAAAAGCAACAAGGGAATCTCCCCTCATGCACAGCTCCATTGTGAGTGGCTTTCCTTCAGTGCTATCACTCAATGGGAAGCCTTGATATCCAGGCCTGGGCTCCTCAGCAGGTTCTGCGGAGTTAGGACTATTCTGGTTTTCAAGAGCAAAGGGAGGCCTTGTTTTCATTTCCAGCTCTTTATAAAGAGGTTTGTGTTGGGAGTATTAGGAATTTAAATGCCTACACCAAATGAAAGAGACAGAAACAAGTAACAGGGAAAGAATTAAAAATGTCATCAATAATTATTTCTGATATAATTTGGTCTGATTTATTTTTTAATTAATTGAATTTTCACAACAGACACCACTCTCTCTTATTAGGTCTACAAAGGCCATTACAATACAAATTTGATAATTTTAGAAGAATTAGCAAAGTTTTATACATGATGAGTCTAAATATTAAATTGAAGAAATTGTTTTAAAGGATGTTGCTTACTGTTAATTCCTGTAAAAGTCTGGTATGTGAAACCCAGTATTGAAGAACAATGATATATAAATTCTATACACTATTATTTTTCTGGGAGTAACTTTAATTTTGAAATTTAACACTTTGTTTGCCTTAATTATTAGTCTGGTGAGGACTGCGTTTCAATTAGCATTCCTGTACATTAGGTCACTAGTTTTAAACATTTTCAAACTAATGAAGGAACAATGTGTGCCTCTGCAAAACGACAGAGAGAAATCATGAGGGCTCACTCATGGACCCTGCTCTATGTCCATCCATCCTTTCAGACCTGTCCCCTCCCCAACATGACCTCTGTCCTGATTGGGTGAGACTCAGCATGAAGAACCTTGAGATTGCCTCTCCATGAGACATGACTGTCCAGTCCTAGTTTCCAATTGAGGATTTCATTTTTTTGAGATGTACTGTCTACATGTTGATTGAAAGAGTCTTTGAATTGTGTCAATTTCTTCTCTGCAGCATTCCCAGGAGAGTGACATAGATTTTCGAATAAACTGACCTTGTATCTTTCTAGGGGAGGGTTCTAACTGCCATTGGAGATGGTCTCCTGGGCCTTGTGTGTGGTTAACTGAGAGGAATAAACTCTGAGTAGAGTCATGAAACACCTTTGCTGGCCCCTCTGCACTTACTCCCCAGACTCTGCATAACCGATTTATTTTGGTTTTCCTTTTTGATGTCTCATGGTAAAAATATGTATCAATGTTATTGATCATGTGGACTTGATTTCATTGTTAATCATAATGATATTTCAGAATGTGTTCCTGTGTCTTTTCTTCAATAGAACAAGGTCTCAAATTGATTAATCTCACTCCTATGTATGGATTGCTATGAAATGTTTTCATACAGATTTATACTCTCTCAGCAATTTTGTATATGTCAGGAAGGTTGTCCTAGGAATCTCTTGTGACTGTGATGGACCATGGCAGTCCTAAGATGGAGTTCTGTGGAGAATGGAAGCTTTGTCTATTCTTGAGAATTCCAGGCTGTCCCCACAGAAGTCAGCTCTGTGCACCTTGCATGAGTCCAGCTAGTCCAATCTAACAACAACTCAGCATTCATATTATTTTAATCTTTCTGTTGACAGTTCCCCAGCATTCACAGATAAGGGAACCCTCTTTCCTGACTCTGTTGCTTATGTCTAAGCAAGAGTTCATGATGGTGTCCAACCTTTATGCTGCAAATAAGACATTGGCAGGACAGTGGGCCTTGGAGGACAAGAAATTTCTTTAATAAAAACAGTAGCCATGCTGTCAATGGCAGAATTATTTTTCCTGATATTCAGCCTTTGTAGATCTAAGGTATGTGTGTTCTCCTAATTAAAACAGAAGAAAAACAATAAATCCTACATAAACACAATTCCTTAGATACAGATATGTGAAAGTAATAACAGTCAAAAGTCAGCAGAGGTCATTAGTGGCCCTTGACACCTCCAAAAACAAAAATCTACTCAGTCTCTCTCTGTGTCTCTGTGTTTGTGGAGTGTGTGTGTGTGTGTGTGTGTGTGTGTGTGTGTGTGTTTGTGTGTGTGTTGGTGTGGGGGTGGTGGTATTATCCTGTGACATACACTGATGTCCAGTCAATGTCAGTCAGTGTCACCCTAAAATGTGTTGCAAAGACAATCCAGTTTCAGGAAACAGGGCATTGATCACCCAGGGCTCCTGATGACATCAATGTCTTTTACATTATCAGTTTAGAATCCCTATGATCTGGCCCAGTGTTAGTGATCAGGAGCCCAGAATTCTGAGAGAGTAACAGACTCTATAACAGAGGTCTCCACAGGGTAATATTCAGACCATCTTCATCTCTCAATTGAGAAGAAATGTCGTTACTACAAAAAAGAAATACAGGATCAGACCTCCCCATAAATGATCACATAGAATGATAATTAAAGTAAAGGTAAAGAGACGTCCCACAATCTATGGAGACTACTTACACCAAAGTATTTTGTGTGCTCTTAGATACATCAGTGAATTTTGAAAAGTATTTTTGTTTGTTCTGATATTGTTGATTTTTATTTTCCTAGTCAAATTCATATTATAATGTATTCCCAATAAAATCCTAGTATCTTAGATTTAAAGGTCACACACACACACACACACACACACACACACACACACACACATTATAATGTATTGTCATAGTTTCTTATTCTCTGTTTCATTAAAGCAGAAGCATGTCAATGTATGTGTTCACTGACAAAAAATCTCCTCAAGATCTGGTTACTGCAGGAAAATCAATAAGGACGACTTCATTATCAGATATTATTTGGAAAAAATGACAAACACTACGTAAGACTGTTAGGAGTAGGGTAAAAACGGGACACAGAGAATGATTATTTCTGTGTAAGTATCCAGGCTGATCTCATCTGTCTTCTCAGCTTCCTGTTCCTCCTGGTTTTCTGACACACTCATGATGTGGTTGAAACACTGTGTCTTGCACAGTAATAGACTGCAGAGTCCTCAGATGTCAGGCTGCTGAGCTCCATGTAGACTGTGCTGGAGGATTTCTCTGCAGTGAGTGTGACCTTGCTCTTGAATTTCTGATTGTAGTCAGTATTACCATGAGAAGGATTAATCCATGCAATCCACTCCAGGCCCTGTGCTGGCTTCTGTTTTACCCAGCTCATAAGATAGCTAGTGAAGGTGTAGCCAGAAGTCTTGCAGGACAAGTTCACTGAGGACCCAGGCTTCACCAGCTCAGCCCCAGACTGCTGCAGCTGGACCTGGGAGTGGACACCTGTGGGGACAAAGGCAGAGTGGATGTCACTGTCACCTGACTGCATGGCGCCTCCTCATGTCTGGAACTTGGAGCCCTTACCTGTAGCTGCTGTCACCAGGAAGAGGGTGATCCAGCTCCATCCCATGGTGAGGACCTGTGTGCTCAGTGACTGTGGAGAGGACACTGATCATATGTTGCTGGTTGTGTGGACATCCCTGTATTTACCACATAGACTCACATGATTTGCATATTCATGAAAAGGGTGCTTCTTAGATAAGGACCTAGTCCAGCTGGAGCAGAAGGAGGTGGAGGACACCTGGGTCAGGCAGCAGGATGCTGAGGTCCAAATCCTCATCCTGTCTGAGGAAGCAGCCATTCCTGAGACCTGTGCAAACATGGTAGATATAAAGTGAGCTTAATCCATCATTTTTCAAATAGAATCCCAACCTGAGACATTTGGTCCACTTGCTGACAAAAAGTATTCATGGTTGGTAATAGGGATAAGAATATTTGTGTATTGAAATTTCCACAACAAATGGAAACATTTTGCCACCTTTGTTCATATGTAAGCTATTAATATTTGCTGTTTGATAATGTTGCTAGTATGTGTTTCTTGTTTGCTTTTTAAAATCCTTTCCTTTTTTTATATGTGTTTTCTTTTTATAGTGAGAAAGAAAGTTGGTGGATTTGAATGGCAGTTAGGTGGGGAGAAAGATAGGACTAGGGAGGAGTCTGGCAGGGAAGCCATGGTCAGTATATATCATATGAAAACATGGTTTTCAAAAACATAAAAAAAATCAATAAATGAATCCTAATGAAGTAAATAAGAAACTCTATGATATTTAACAAAGATTTTTTACAGTGTTTGAACATGGAGACATCACATGTCAACTGTAGCGAGTATTGTTCTGCTAACAGACTATAAAAAGGGAGACCACAGAGACTATGGAGAACCCTCCACTCCCCTCCACTCCCCTCCTCTCCATCTCACTTCCATCCTATTGATTATTGGCTCCTTTCTGCCCCCTGCTGGTTCTGAGCTCCCCTGCATGTTTCTATGACTTGGCTTACACTGAAGTATGTTTTTTGCTTTTAACAAAGAAAACAGATATCTTTATTATATTGCAAACATTAGTGGCCATGGCAGTAATGGGAAACAAACACCTTGATCTGACCGCCTCCCTTCTTTTATGTAGTTCTGGAAACTAAAAAATTTCCTTGTACATGCTAAGCAAGCACTCTTCCACTGGATTAACAATTAAGAAAGAACTAGCCATTATGAAGCCTAAACCACTGGCCAAGCAATGATGACTGATACTAAGTCTCAGAATGGTTATTTCAGTAAGTGTCTGCTGGACCCAGTAATGGAGAGAAAACTGGTCCAGTGGACCCAAGATGGAGAAAATCTACGACATAATGATTTCATGTCTCATATAATTTGAAAAATGTCATTTGTATCCTGGAAAATGTCATTGCATTGTTCCTGGAAACCCCCACTATACTCTGTTTCTGATAAGAGTATACAATGTCTAATTTCTTGCAATAAACATGTCACAGTATCAGTGTTCCTGAGGTTCCCTCCTTCCTGGCCTGGTTAAGATTCCATTCTCACTGACCATAATCAGGCAACCTTAGCATGTTGAGTAAATGCTGGTGATTACCGTTTGCATCATCTGCACTTGTGTCTTTGTTTAAGACTACTTTGCCCAAATCTAGCTATTCAAGCTCATTTCACATTCATTAAATATTGCTCATACATTTATCTCTTTTCTTCAGTATACTTGGGAGGTATTCAGAAGCTAATCCACAAATTCCTGGTGTCCAGAGTGTGCCCAACCTGCAGGTTCACTTGGGCATGGTATGTTGCTGGTAGCCATGTAGGCTGACCTCACCCTGGCATTAGGGAACAGACAGTGGGTCCATTGGTTTTCACATTCATATTGTACTGGTTAATGAGTTGTGTTTGTGATGATCTCATTAATTTAATACTTCCCAAAATTTGTTCCCACATATTTGATGTCAGTATAATTTTATTTAGAGATTTTTCTGGCTTGGAAAGTAGATTCTCTTTTCCTTCATAGATATTGAAATCTATGATCATTAACCCTGAACCAGCACTAACCATTGCTTCCCCCAATGGTGCTTCTCTATCTTTCAGGTAAACACTTCAGCTTTCCTGCCTTTAGCTGCATCAACAAGTTCCATTTCAGTAACCATGCAGTCAAAGTTAACAAGAAAACATCAGCAGAAAGCAGAAAACTGGTATAAGGAACTCTGTTGCCAATGGAAGGCAGTTAGAAGAGAGACTGTAGATGACATCATCTGGCCTGAGCCCAATGGACACTCAGACATTCCCACAAGCTGAAGGTACACAAAACACCTTCAAAGGAATCACTACATGGGTCTCTGAGTCAGAAAGTAATCTTTATAAGGAAGCAATCTCAAACAATCATTGTGTGAAAAATAATAACCATGTGTGCCCTATTACAGACATTCACATGTTGGAAGCATGAAACACAGGCAACTTGTTTTTCCACCAAATGTGGAAAATATCATTAATTCATGGAAGTTCTGGCTATTCCTACAACAGTGAGAAAACTAAGAGGATGGTTTCAGGTGGTTTAGAATTCCCTGAGATTTCCAGTTGACATGAACATCATCACCAACTCTTAGAATTTATAGACATTGGTTGAAAAATATGGGAAGGTTTACTCATGTTTATTTCAACAGATATAGAGTGACAGATGGATATTTTAGATGCTCCATAGGTAAAAAGTGATACACTTATTAGACACTAAACAAATTTTAATTGTTATAGAATATGATATAGCAAAGAGCCTCTAAAGGATTGTTAGAGCAGGAAGGGGAAGCCACTTATTCTAACATCAAAACAGCTGAAAGCCTGTTTGTGGGGCAGCACATGGGATAGTCCCCAACATCCTAGGTTCAAGGAGATGTCTTCTAGTTCTGAGCTGCCTCAGTAGTTCTTCATTGTGTCAGTTGGTCTTGAGCACAGAGAGTTTTGTGGCTGAATTCACGCTGAAGTTTCCTTCCCATTTCCTTGCAAATTTAGACATGGCAGGAGGTTCTGATTTTAACTATTAGCTCTTGCAGATATTCCTATTAATACAGGTTCCAATTAGAAGCTGTTTCTCCAAAAATCAACACTATAATACCAGACTATTCTAATCCTGTGGGTCTTGGCTTGACTGATTGGATGTCTATCCATTTTGTCATTCCATCAAATCTCATATTTTCGTCCTTGCTTGTTTATTCCTGATCTTTGGGCTATGGGTAACTGAGGTAGAGTGTTTCCATAACCATGGAGAGGTAGCTGTTGAGTGGAAGTTGTAAGGGGCTCCCAACAAATACATACTATGCCTTCATCTTTGTGATACCCTTGATGATTTCAGAGGTATTGTCCAGACTTCATGCCTCCTCTTTGGTTTGTCTCAAATTTTCCTAATGATCAGGTAGAATTTTGTAAAAGTATCACAGAACCAAATGACATGATGTTGACTGAATCTGAGGATCCAATTTTTAAGAACACTTACTCTGCTGAGTTAACTTTGACTATGTGGGTGAAGCTCTGTGTTTAAAGATCTACACTTGGGTTGGATTTCATTCCTATGATATCTGGAGGAAGAGATCATAAAACACAGACTCAAATAGGTGTATCTGCACACAAAATTTTCCCAGTTTTGAGGATTGGTTCCAAACATGGTTAAGTCTGAGCTCCCCCTGCTGCCTCAGAGCTCCTCTGCAGGGAGGTTTGTGTCTGGGCTCATGCTGAAGTTACCTTACTGCGTTTCTCCTGCAAAGAAATATGTGGCTGTGTCCTCGGTGGTCACAGAGTTCAGCTGCAGGAAGAACTGGTTCTTGGCTGTGTCTCTACCACTGTTGATGGAGTAGCCAGTGACAGAGCAAGTGAGGGACAGCGACTGTGAGGGCTTCACCAGGCCAGGTCCTGACTCCTGAAGCTGGATCTGGGACAGGACACCTGCAGACAGGAAGAGTCAATTCTGTCAATCACATGTTGTCACATCCCCTCATGGACACATGTATGTAAAGGTCACACTCACCAGGAAGGGCTGTCACCAGGTACAGAAGACCCAACAGTCTCATCTTATAGGCTACACCCCCTTTTCTCAGAAGGCTGCCTCCTGTGAGAGAGATCTGAGCTCCCACAGCTCAAAGGGTGGCTTAACTTAGATCTATAAGATACATTTGCATGACTGGAGTCAGCCTAGACATTATAAATGAGAAGGGTGGATATCACCCCATTTTGTTTTAATAATATGGCCATCACTGTGTCTGACTTCCTACAGTGTGAGTCTAGAATAGTGTTACAATAAATCTTTCTGCCAAAAGCCTCCTGAGCCCCACCACCACATGTGAGCTTTATGCCAGCCACCCGCCCGAGTTAGACCCAAATAAATACACAGAAACTGGTATTAGGTACAATGCTGCTTGGCCAATGACTAGGATTCTCATCTGTTAGCTCAGTCTTAATTATCATAAATCTCTATATT